TTCTCTAAGTTTTAAATCTCAACCAAATGATCCCTAATTAATACATGTTAAACAACATAACTCGATCATTACATAAATCAATTCAAAAACTTAATTAGGCCACTTGAACAATAAAATGGAATTTAATTAAATCATGATAATCAAATCCTTAATTTCTAGAACAACATCAGATGGTTCCAAATTAACATATGCCAGTATACAAGTCCTAGTCATCACCAATATCAATTTAAAAACTTAATTAAACTAATGGAACCTTTAAATAGATTTTAATTAATCTTTTTAATTAAAATCTCTACATTTTCATACTCATCCAAATGCTCTCAAATTAAAGTATATTAAAGAACATGCCAAGACTTAATTTAAAAGTATATCACAAGTTAATTTCTTGTAAGGTACATCCATGAGAATTAAACTTTCAGAAAAGATAATTATTAAATAAAAAGTGCAATTCTTATTCAAATAATTCTAATTTAATATATGTTAACAAACATATCAAAGCATAATTTATCATCATGCCACAATTCAATTCTAAGCTATATACATCCTCGTGAATTAAATCTTATACAAAAAAATAAATATTACTAATTTTCTAGATTTGATACAAGGCATGCAAACAAGTTATATAATCATGGAAAACACTCAATACAATACATACATAATCCTAAAACACCCCTACCTAAATTTGAGATGAAAATCTCAAAATCCACCAAAATGAAACCACTCCGAATTCGACGAAACTTCGGGGTTTTGTCGAGGACAAGACGATGAACATAAACCCCAGGGAAGCCCCATCAAGATCACAACTTGACTTCAAATCCGAACTCAAAAAATGGCCAAAACAAGATTCCAATCAGTGGAATCGAAGGCCTCGCCAAGGCAAACATAAAACACTAAGGCACTATGGCATTTCACTGAAGAGAAGAAGATCAAAAGAGGAAAGAAAATGTGGCAGCTCTTTGCTGCTATAGAATCCGGCCAAGAGAGGGCAGAGAGTGTGTGAAATCTAATTTTTCAATTTAAGACCCCCTATTTATAGAAAAACTCAAAAAGTGCCCCAAACGGGCCCTGCCGGGTCCAGAAAAGTATGGGCAACACATTTGCAGACCGGGTTGACATTGATCCCTGATATTGGTTTATTAATTATGTGTTGCACCTCAATGCCTTTCCATCAGGCCATGGTACTCAACGGAGAGAGGGTATTTTTCAGGCTCTATACTGATTGAGCCAGGGTTATTGGATTTCTATTCCTGCACTTATCTGGGAGCTCATTGATAAGTTCTGGAAGAATCTGATTCATACACACAATTCTAGAGTTGGGGCTTGGCCTTTACCTTATGGCCACCGAATTACTCAGCTGCTACTTAACTAGGGTTATTAGTTTGACCTAGATGAGATCCTAGAGGAGGATATACAGAGGGCTATGAGAGCCTATGATCAGACCAAATGGACGAAGACCTAAAATTCTTGCCAAAAGAATAGAAAGAATAGGGATTTGAAAAGAAAGTATGAGCAGGAGAGAGCAGTAGAGGATGCAGCTGTAGAGGAGGATACCAATAGATCTCCTCCTAGATAGAGGTGTCACACTACCACTTCAGCTTCTACCTCACAGCCAGATGTACTTACTACATCTCAGCAGGATGACCCCTCTCATGTCCCTCTCACAGAGCCTATAGCACAGACCGACACTCGATCCTGTTATGCTAGTACTAATTCTAGTTATAGATCTCATGTCACTCAATTACACACAGACTTCATTTCCTTCAGAGCTGATATGACCGGGTGGCACGAGCATATCACGAGGTGGCATGATGATTTAGTGAGGAGACATGATGACTTAGTGAGGCAGCACGATGACTTGAGAGCAGATGTAGCCGAGGTGAGGCATAAGCTTAGAGCATTACGGACTGGCCTTACAGCTTTTCTCACTCGACATAGCCATGATATGTCTGACATGCTGCAGTATATTGCTGATATGATGACTCCAAATCCTATTCCCTAATTCCAACATTCTCTCTCTACTACTCATTATCTGTTCTGATACACTGCTATTGCAGAGATATTTTTGCACTGGTTTTGGATACTTTGGATATTATTTTTGCACTGCACTTGCTATACATTAATCTTTGGGTATATGGTTTAGAATTCACTTGCTATATATGGATTTTTGGGATTTTGTTATCAGTTTTGGATATTTTGAGCTTTACATTGGTAGATGCAATGATTTTTACCTAGTTCTCAGTTTCACCTCTCATTTATATCATTGATGCATATGCTTTGACAATTGCTAGTATGACCATTTTCAGATAGGTTTTTTGAATCTAAGTTTGGGGGTACGCCTTCCAACATTAAGCTTCCGTTGCTGGGTCCCTTTTACTACACCCATTTGGTATACTTTTTCCATTATCTATTGCTTCTTTGCACAATGAGGACAATGCACAGATTAAGTTTGGGGGTGTGTTAGCATATTTTACATGTTGTACTTAGTTTCTATGCATGTGGTATGATTTGAGAGTCTTGAGTCATGATTTTGATCTTTTGAGGACCATGATACTTAGAATTTAAAAATTGCTTGACTTGAGAGTCCAATACTCCTTGCATGCTTTGTGGATGCCATTTAGGACTAATTTTTTGAAAGATTGATATCTTGCTTGTATTTGTGGTTCACATCATCCTGATTTTGTGATTGTTTTAAGATTCACTCTAGGATTCTACACTAGCATAGGCACACACTAACATTCATTTGTGGGGTACATGCGTTGTTCACTATTAATTTGATTATATCCCAACTAAGCTAGTAGTGCATTGAAAACTTTCATTCTTGACAAAGGTGGATAACAAACCCTTTTCACTAAGTAGCCGGGATTCTAGCCTCATTAAGCACTGCATTTCTCACGCCAAAAGGTGGAGGGCCCAAACTCTAGATAATTAAAAAACCAAAAAAAAAAAATAGTTGCAAAAGCAAATAAAAAAAGTGAGGATCAAATACGCAAAACAATATGCATATACAAATCTAACCTAGCATACATCATATGTCATGCTTCTTATACTAGAATAAAATCATGCTTTAACTAAACGATATACTACATATACCACCTAGGCACATAAACATGTTATCAAACCAAAATATGTTATCATAAAGCATATAAACAAATAGAGCATGGCAACACAAGCATGATATGCACCCAAAACCCGTCGTCCAAGGTATTCAAACCTAGGAGCTTTGATACCACTTGTGACGGCCCAAGTTTTGTAAACCTGGTGCGTTAGTGATGACCAAAAGATGACCCGATAATGGATCCGAAATGCAGAAGCGAAAGGTGAAACAACGGTCTCTAGAGATACAATGCGTCTCTAAGACACCAATGTGACCCTTAATGAGGTCACGGAACCCAAAAGAAACAAATGCAGAAGTGTCATTTCAAAAACGGACAAAAAGAACCTAGGGGCAAAATGGTCATTTTGCAAAAAGTGGATTCATGTGCTATCGAGCACACCGCTGGAAAGACAATGACAAATTAGTCAAGTTCAAAAAAAAGTTTACTCAATTTGGAGTCTGGACAGGGGAGAAAGGTCAAAAACAAAAATGATGTCGTGGCGGCCCGACAAGGACAACCCACCACTACTGCAACTGAGAGTAAAAACGGGCATCTAAACGGACTTTTTTGGAAAAACTCAAAGAAGAAACCCCCCCTAAAATCAAGTTTCCTATCCTGCATGGGGACGGAAACAAAAAAAATGCATTGTAAAATGCCCAGAATGCCCCCAAAAAAATCAGGTCAAGAGGAAAAAAACTAATCCGAGCTAGTGCCCAAGTTTTGGAAATAGGGCTTTGGGAGGTTTTTAAATTACCTAAATTGAAAATGCAATCTTAAAATGCACTCACAAGACCTTCGGAAGTTTCGGACCGGTCATGACGATTTAAAAAAAAAAGTCGATGAATAGTACCAACTACATTTGTACTAAAAATTTCCAAAACTTGGGCAGTAGCTCGGATTAGTTTTTTTCCTCTTGACCTGATTTTCTTGGGGGCATTCTGGGTATTTTACAATACATTTTTTTTGTTTCCGTCTGCGATCGGGGTAGGAAACTTGATTTTAGGGGGGGTTTCTTCTTTGAGTTTTTCCAAAAAAAAGTCCGTTTAGATGTCCGTTTTTACTCTCAGTTGCAGCAGTGGTGGGTTGTCCTCGTTGGGCCGCCGTAACATCATTTTTGTTTTTGACCTTTCTCCCCCGTCCGGTCTCCAAATTGAGTAAATTTTTTTTTGAACTTGACTAATTTGTCATTGTCTTTCCAGCGGTGTGCTTGATAGCACCTGAATCCACTTTTTGCAAAATGACCATTTTGCCCCTAGGTTCTTTTTGTCCGTTTTTGAAACGACACTTCTACATTTGTTTCCTTTGGGTTCTGTGACTTCATTGAGGGTTACATTGGTGTCTTAGAGACGCATTGTATCTTTAGAGACCGTTATTTCACCTTTTGCTTCTGCATTTCGGATCTATTATCGGGTCATCTTTTGGTCATCACTAACGCACCGGGTTTACAAAAACTTGGGCCGTCACATCAAATATATATAAATTTCCAAAAAGAAAGGAAATTTAAAAAAAAAAAAAAAAAAACTCAACTCAACCCAACCCAATCCACCCGAAAATATTCGGTCCGAGTTATGACCATACCCCATGTTGAGTACAATTTGGGCTGGCCTAACCTAACCCGATTCGGGTTGAGGTTGGATTGGGATTGGGCTGGGTTGGGCCAGCCTAACTTGCAGCCCTATATAAATATAACCCTATATCAATGTTATACACTTGTCATCGTATACATGTCTGAAGAGTGTGGGAATTATTTTTTATACGCAGGGGACAGACACCGCAGGTATATTTTTAATTTAGAAAAATTCGTACCTAATGTAATTTTAATTTAAATAAAAGTTTAAAAGTAGTAAAAGTTTAAAAGTAGTAAAAGTTTGAAAAAATTAAAAAAGCAAAATGGTACTGTAGTACTTCGTAAATTTATAAGCTACAAACAAACGCGACTTTGCCCTAGCCCCAAAATTCCCAAATCCTCCATTCCTTCGCGACTGACCACAGGCGATTCCTCTCTCCGGCCAGATTTTTTCTTTCTCCGGTATCTACTACGGCGACTCCAGCAGGTAGGCTTCTTTTCTCTCACTTCCTCTCCCCTCTTCTTCAACTATCTCTGTACATAGTTAAGTAACCCACTATTTAGAACGAAGCACTAAGTCAGGGACGGCCTTGACCCAAGGCGACCAAGGCGGTTGCCTTGGGGCCTCAGATTTTAGAGGGCCTCATAGGGAGAGGCCGGGGGGGGGGGGGGGGGGGGGGGGGGGGGTTGGTGGGGAAGGGGGAATGGGAAAAAAAAATAAAAAATAAAAAATTTAAGTTAGGGCAAGTTTTTAGACGACACAAACTGCTTCGACACTCTGCAGGACGCACAGCCTCCGCTATCGCCTCAGGCTCAGGTGACACCGTGACAATGTATGTTCATCCTCTCTCCTTTTGCATGAATCGATTTTTTTTTTTTTCCCTCTCCCTAAGTCCACTCCAGTCTCACAACAGCAGCAACCATACCCCTTTTCCTCGTAATTTTTTACATTTTCACATTCAATCCTACGAAAATTAAGGATCCCTTCTAGTGGGTTGAGGACCTGAGGTAATAATTAATTTTTTCGATCTCTGAATTATGCTCATACTTAAAAGTGCCAAATTAAGGGTTGTTTTATTTTTATTTTTATATGAAGATGCATACCACCATTATTGATGTTATTTGAAGTTGGCTTAGCTAGAATTTCAGTTAATAATACTGTCAAAGGCTCAAAGCACTTGCCATCAGAATGTACAAACACATGGAAATCAAGAGCAGGCTTTAACAAAACAAAAGTTAATGGATTTTCTATTAATTTGCACAGGTCTTCTGTAGCAATGATCAATCGATCACTGCTACTAAAGTTGATTCCTCATCCTGAAATCAAGAAAGGGGTAATTGGCTCCCAAAAAAACACACAAAAACACACACAAAGCTCCAGTGAAAACTCCAGCCAGGAGATCATTCGACCAAACTGCTTGATTTTAGATATTTTTTTTTAATATTATATTTATAGTATGAACGGCAATGGCTAGTTATTATTGTTTCCGTTTGATTCTCCCTCTGTTTTATGTTAATTGTGATCTTCTTTCACATGCTAGCAGGACACTCTTTGTAGGATCTCGTGAGGTTATTTGCTTTGAACTTGAATAAAATCATTGCATATTGAGGACACTCTTCTTAGGATCTCGTGAGGTTATTTGCCGGACATTTACTTTGATATAAAGTTGAATTATGATTTTTGTGACTAAGTTGTGTTGAATATTTCCTTTTAATTTTTTTATGTAAATTGGATCGTGCCCTTTTTAAAGCACCAAGACCGGATTTTCTTTTGTGTGTTTTCAACATTAATATATATTATGTTCTTATTATCTCATATTAATGAAAATTCTGCATTCTTATAAATTTTTTGTGCCATAGATTTATTGTTATTAGTTACTTGTCTTATGCACACTGCGCAGGCGCACAATTATTTATTGGTGGTGATAGATTTATAGTTATTAGTCAGTTATTTTATGCAAACTGGTGCACAATTATTTATCAGTAGTGATAAAAATTTATAGTTATTAGTTAGTTGTCTTAAGCACACTGCAGAGACCCACAATTATTTATTGGTGGTGATACATTTATAGTTATTAGTTAGTTGTCTTATGCATACTATTCAAGCGCACAATTATTTGTTGGTGGTGATAAATTTGTAGTTATTAGTTAGTTGTCTTATGCACAATGCACAGACATACAATTGTATTAGCTATAGAATTTGAAAACATCGTGTGAAAATTCTGCACTCGTATAATTTTTTTTGTGCGTGTGAAACTTAAGGGCCTCACATGAAAGTTCGCCTAGGGGCTTTCAAAATATTTAAAATCTTAGGGCCGACCCTGCACTGGAACAAGACTTTGTGACACCCTTAGGAATTGTATATGTTTATTCATGTACATTTTTAACCCACTATGGCTTTGTCTCTTTTGCACATCTTTGTTTGTATCAACTCTATTTTCCATTTGTTTTCTCTTTTGTTGAGAGCTTCTAAGATGAAATTAATGAAATTGATATTTTGTCTATTTGAGATTCTCAACTTCTAGGTTTTCTGAATTTTATGAGTATGTTTTGTTTATCTTTGAATTGATTCATTTATCCCAGTTAAATTAAGCAAGGACAGTATTCGGTATCATTATAACGTGCTATAATTCTCATTGACACAGTTACATTGTTTCATTGACAAAGTACTGGAATTAAATCATATTTTAGATCCTAGCAAGAAAAACAGAGACAAATCAGAACAATTGTATTTTTGGATGTGTGTAAACTGTAAAGATATGGACGCGCCCACATATGGCCCTTTTTATTGGCTCTCTCTTGTGTGTTATGTTATTGAAACATGCTATAATTTGGGTTAAAATTATAAAACCCCCACTATTTTCAAATTTTGATCATAAAACACCAACCTGTTTCACAAAAACCCGACACTTTTAAAAAGTGATCACGTTGCCTCAATATCCGTATACGACCTGTTAATTGGCTACGAAATGACAAATTTAACCTTATTACTTAATGTTAAATTAAAAATTAAAAATTATTCTTTAAAATTACAAAAATACCCTTTAAAATTACAAAAATGATGTTAGAGAGAAAGAGGGGTGAGAGTCTTAAAACATCATTTTTGTAATTTTTGTAGTAAGGTTAATTTTGTCATTTCATAGCCAATTTTTGTAGTAAGGTTAAATTTTTGTAATTTTTCTAGTAAGGTTAAATTTGTCATGTCATTTCATAGCCAATTAACCTTCGTTCAACTAAATAGTGTTTGTGAGCTTCAAATAAGCAAACCATGTCGATATACTTGAGCAAGACCTCAACTCTCAATATCCGTCATCATCAGTTTAATCATCAATTCATAATCATCATTACCAAACAAGAAAGCCTACCCACTATCAAACGAATTCAATTTAAAATCTAGATAAAGAAAGTAATATATACAAATATATAGGGTTCATACCTCTTTTTAAAGAGGGTGAAGATGAATGAAAGTGGAAAGTATAAAGCTTTCTTCTAGGGTACACAACCTCGAACAAGAGTGTTCAAAGTAGAGAGAGAGAGCTGAAGGTCCAAGGTAGCGTTTCAGATTGAAGACAAGAGAGTCATTGTCGAAGGTCTAGCGTTTCAGAGTGAAAAGAAGAGAGAGTGTGTCGTTGGTATAGGGTTTTAGAGGAGAGAAAGAGAGAGAATGGTTTCAGAGATAGGGAGGTCTTTTGGGGGAGTTGGGATACTCTGCTATAAATGAGTCGTGTTGTACCCGCGTGGTATAGACGACACCGTTTTGCAGTAGAACTATATTAAGCATCTAGTAAATCCTTTTTTTTTTTCTCTCTCCGACATGACAAATTTCAAAAAATAGGACATGAAAACGGCGGGGATACACCTATGAAATTATATATATATATTCAAAATCCACAATACCATAAATCTAACCTCTCCAAAAAAAAAATACTAGGGGTGGCCACAGATCGGATTGGATTAGGCATCAGTCCGATCCGCTCCCAACGGATTGCAAAATTTTGAATCCACCACCAATCAGTGGGATATGAGATCGGATTGGTGGAATGACAGATCGGATCAGACCAGATCCGCGGCTTGGGATTTTTCTTAAATAGTCCAATATTGTTTATTTTTTAACCATAACCCAATAGATAAAATTTTAATTTATCAACATTAATTCATATGTTTAAATGATCATTAACTAATACATTTTTAGAGTCCATTAAATGATCATTAACTAATTAAATTAATTAATACATTCTTTGAATATATATATATATGTATATATATAAATCTCACGGATCGGATCGCATTTTAATAGCCAATCCATGATCCAATCCATGAGCTACGGATTCAATTTTTTTGAATCCGCTACCGATCCACGGGTGTAGCAATCCAATCTGATCCGCACGGATCGGATAGGATTTGTGGATTGACGGATTATTTGCCCACCCCTAAAAAATACTACATCACACAAATACTTCAAGTCATCATTTAAGCAATTAAGAACCAAACAAAGTTATAAACAAAGATAGACAAATAGGTTAAAGTAAATTTCCAACATGTTCAGCATTATCCATTCATCACCTAAAAGTCATAAGTTCAATAACCAAAAATTACAAGGATTTATCGTGTGGGGATGCGGTGCTGGCTTGTAGATTTCCGTATCTTTTTAGGATGGCTGAGAATAAGAATGCAAAGGTTGCTGATTTTTTCCACTTTGTGAATGAGAGTGTGTGTTGGGACTTGAGATTTTGTAGAAGATTCAATGATTGGGAACTGGGGGAAGTTACAGAGTTATTGGGTTTAATTTATAGCCAAGAGGTGGAGAGGGTAGGAAGGGATGAGATGGTGTGGATGGGAGGTTCTCTAGGGGTGTTTGAGGTGAGTCGTTTTACCAAAGCCTTACGAATGATATAAGTGAGGGTTTCCTTGGAAGGCTGTTTGGAGGACTTCAGCACCATTGAAGGTGGCCTTTTTCACATGGACAGTGGTTCTTGGAAGCATACTAACTCTTGACAATCTTAGGAGAAGAGGGCAAATTACTGTTAACTGGTGTTGTATGTGTAAAAAGGAAGGTGAATCGGTTAATCACCTCCTCATGCACTGTCAAGTGGCAGCGGATGCTTGGAGCATGGTTATGAAGGTCATTGGGGTTCATTGGGTTGTTTCAAGGACAACAAAAGGTATACTAGAGGCCTGGCGAGGGAGACCCGTTGGTAACCGTGTTAGGAAAGCTTGGAGGGTAGCACCTCTTTGTATTTGGTGGGGGTTGTGGCTTGAGCATAATAGAAGATATTTTGAAGGCAAATAGTGGCCGACTTGGGCTGTTAAATCGTTTATCCGACATTCTCTTTATTTTTGGGTCCTTGGGATTCATTGTTCCTCGGTGGATAGTTTGTTAGACTTTGTTGGCAACTTATCGTTGTAATGGCGCCTATGGTACCTATTTTTTTTTTTCTTTTTTAAGGGTTGCTCTCCCTTAGAGCTTTTTTAATATATATGCTGTACTTATCAAAAAAAAAAAAAAAAACCCCACTACTTTTTTTTTTTATCATAAAACCCCAACCTGTTTTAGAAAACTCCTATATTTTTTAAAAGTGATCACACTGCCCCAATATCCATGTCTGACCCGTTAATCGGGCTATGAGGGTGACGAATTTTTGTAATTTTAAATAATTTTTGAATATTTATATATATATATATATATATAATTTTATAGGTGTATCCCCGCCGTTTTCGTGTCCTATTTTTTGAAATTTGCCATGTCGGAGAGAGAAAAAAAAGGATCTACTAAATGCTTGATATAGTTCTACTACAAAACGGTGTTGTCTATACCACACGTGTACAACACGACTCGTTTATGGCAGAGTATCCCAACTCCCTCAAAAGACCTCCCTATCTCTGAAACCCTTTTCTCTCCTCTAAAACCCTATACCAATGACAGTCTCTCTCTTCTTTTTACTCTGAAACGCTAGACCTTCGACAATGACTCTCTGTCTTTACTCTGAAACGCTACCTTGGACCTTCAGCTCTCTCTCTCTTTACTTTGAACAATCTTGTTCGAGGTTGTGTACCCTAGAAGAAAGCTTTAAACTTTCCACTTTCATTCATCTTCACCCTCGGTATGAACCCTATATATTTGTATATATTGCTTTCTTTATCTAGATTTTAAATTGAGTTTGTTTGATAGTGGTTAGACTTTCTTGTTTGGTAATGATGATTATGAATTGATGATTAAATTGATGATGACCGATATTGAGAGTTGAGGTATTGGAGCATGATATTATCTTGCTCAAGTATATCGACATGGTTTGCTTATTTGAAGCTCATAAATACTATTTAGTTGAACAAAGGTTGGGAGGAGTTTGACACCATAGTGAAGTTTATAGAGTGTATTTCTTTGTTATTAATTTTGATGGCAAAATATTTGATGAAACACCTACGTAGAAATAGAGTTCAAAAAAAAAAAGATACGTATGTACTCAAAAAGACCCTCCCGTCTGTGAAAGGGTGAAACCCTTCTCTTTACTTATCCAAAAAAAAAAGAAAGAAAGAAAGAAAGAAAGAAAAGAAATGTAGAAATAAATTTCAAGATACTTCAGCTAATTTCTATTTTTTCTCAAGCACTGTTTTTCCCTCTCATCATGGTAGAGCTAATATTTACACAATTTTGCTATCTATAGCCTAGTCAACGTTTTTCTGTTTATACTTATATATCAAAATTACAGATCTGACAAAACATCCCATAATGTGTGAGTATGTCATTCAATGCCCCAAGAGAATGCTTGACATTCAATATGGGGTACCTCACACTGATACATTGTTTATGTGAAAATGTTAAATTGCTTTGCACTGAGTATTGTATTGTTTTAGGAATTAGGGTTAGGGTTTCCTTGCGGATTTTGTTTTCTAGTTGCTTCTAGCATATTTGAGTGAGATTGATTCTAATTTTCAACATATCCTTTTGAGTTTCTCTTTTACAGATTTTCTCACGATTCTCCACTTTCAATTTTACATTCTTTGCGGTTTCCAGTTTTACTGTAAATTTTATATTTTTTCTATTTTTAGATCCAACAAAATACAACTCCATAGATCTGTGTAAATGTGTGTATATATTATTTGTATGTATATGTATATGCATATAAATATTAAGGGTAAAGTGCACTAAATCCCTCTAAACTATGACCTGATTGCAAGAAACCTCCCTGAAGTAAGTCAAACCTCCTAAACTATCATTTTGTTGCATATAAGAATAAAGCGTCAATGAGCCGTTAACGGAAAATGTAAATTACCTTGTAGCCCTTAAATTGAACTATGTCGTTTTAAATTCCATCCAACTTCAGCTGCTGATGTGGCAAAACAATTTCAATGTCCACTAGAAAATTGACAGCACATCAACCTTATCATCATTTATTTTCTTTTCTTTTTTTCTTTTTCGTTTTCATATATATATTTTTTATCCCCTTCTCTCGTTCCCCTATTTTTCTGGCTATTTTCTGACGGTGGACAGAACCACCATCTCCCGTGAAAGGAGGAAGAGGCAGGTCCTTTCCAGTGACCAAAATCCCAAACTGTTGCAATCTAATGGCTGCATCCATGTTCTTGAGAAACACGATAGCCCAGCGATATATGTGCTGTCGCGTCCACTGCCAGAGCAGTCATCATCGGAGATGACGACGAAGACTGAATATTCACCGCCGGCGTGATCGAACACCAATAATCCGATGGAATCAAATTTGATAAGTTACTGTGAAGAATCCTTACATGCCATCACAATTTGACCGTCTGATTTGCTGAAGTTGTTCAAATTACGATGAAATTGGATCTTTGGAGATCTGGGTTTGTGGGATTTCAGTTCATTTTTTACTATCTATGTTGCTTTTGTGGGATTTCAGTTCATTTTTTACTCTTTATGTTCCTTTACTCTTCTTCCTCAGAGTGTGGTGGTGTCCTTGAAGGAACAAGTTCCAGTAAAAAAAAAAAAAACTTAGTTTCCAAATTGAAGTACATGTTTCATTTATCACCCAATTAGCAAAGTTGGAAGTGGAAGAAAATTTTAACCCACCATGAATGTGTGCGAGCAAAACTGATTTTCATCTTTCTTATGTTTCATGAAGATGGAGGGTTGGGTTGAGGGAAAGAAGAGGAAAAATGACATATTTTGTCAATACATACATACATACATACATACATATATATATATATATATATATGCTATTATTTATTATCTATTAATTGCTATGAGGGTTAATTTTGTCTTTTTAAAATTTTTGCCCCCTCACGTGACAGGCATGCGTTAATTTCTGTTAAATTTTTAATGGTAAGTTAGCTTTTGCAACAATTGGAATACTTTAGGGGGTTAAGTGTATTTCACATAGTTCAGGGGGTTTCTTGAGAAAGAGAAGATAGTTTGGGGGGTTTAGTGCACTTTACCCAAATATTAATGAAAGCTTCTTAATCTGTTCGACGAGATTGATTTTGTTTCTGATTGAATTGTTCCCTTGAATCAAATATATATTATATAAATTTATTTATGTATATAAATATTAATGAAAGCTTCTTAATCTGGTTGGATTGATTTTGTTTCTGATCGACTCGTTCCCTTGAAACAGAAGGGATTGTGTTGCGCATTCTATTGCTCTCCACGACCCCAATTTTTTGTGTTTGGAGAACACTTGGGCAACTATATTTCTCTATCACACATATACGCACATACATATCTATATATTTTTCGTGTTGTATATTTGTTTTCTTCCTTTTTATTTTGATAATGTAACTTATCAGGAAATTTGACTTGCTTTACTGGGACAATACTGGCTGCCAATTGTGACCCACATCAAGCTTAAATCTTGATCAGGTCATGTAGGGTGCTATTATTTTATCAGTTTAAATGATTTAATCATAGGTTAACTTATAAAAAAAAAAAAAATGTAATCATAGGTTAACAAAAGAAATAAAAAAAGAGAAAAAATGTCATTACTGATCTATTAATACTACCAATGCCTTATATTAATCTTTGCGATTTAAATTAGTCCAAATTATTTTTATTTGAAAAAAGTTTAGGAATTTAAACTTGAAACATTGCAGAAACTAGGAAGTCTAGAATCATGGTATTATTTGTTACAAAACTTCTCTAAACACTAAAAAGGAAAAAGAAAAAAGAAAAAGATAATGTAATACAAATCACCAAAGGTTGTAGCTTAGATGACCTTTTAGAGTTTTTGGATTTGAGGGTTTTGTGGTCCTATTTGGTCTTGTGTTGTTTTTGAGGGATGCGTTCTGCTTTTGAACGCTTTTAATGAATTCTTACTTGACAAAAAAAAAAAAGGTTGTAGCTTAGAGTTATATCCTTAACCTCTACAAGGTAGAATGTCAAGGGTTCAAGTCCCACTAGGGACAAAATGCGGGTGTTATGAGAGTTTCTTGCCCTGGTAAAAGAAAAAAAAAATTGTAATACTACGTTATTTTTCTCCTTTGTCTTTTATATTTTCCTCACAAAAAGGAATTTGCATTGCCTTTCACTTCTTTTCCCTTATTTAAATTCTTCTCCTCCAATTTCCTTTTCTAACCATTTTTGGATTTCCAGAAGACCAATCACACTAGTGAACATTTAACTAGTCTCTCTACTTCAAACTTCAAAGAAATTGTCAATTTCATGTGTTCTCTCTTGGAGTAAAAAGGATGGAAGCTAAGCCATTGGAATCGCCCACAACTTTCGTTGATAAACTTGTTGTGAGTTCTGCGTGTTCTCTAGTCCTTTTATATATGCAGAATTTATTTATGTACACACACACACACACAAGTATATACACACATACACACACATATATATGTAACAAGAACTAATAAATTTTAGTGTTTTAGGTTCCAGGGGATGTGGTTCTTGATCTTTCAAGTATGGCCAATCAAACCATTAAGCTTGGAGGCGGTCTCCGTCAGGTTTGTTTTTGGACTTCAATTATGCTTCTTCTGTTTTTTTGGAGCGATATTTAATTTCACTTGTACTGGGGTTATACATCATTGATTTTTATTTATTTTATTTTATTTTTATTTTTTGCCTCATATGCATTATGGGTCACGGTATATTCGAAAAGGGTGGCACTAAAATATCATGTTCATCCACCCATATGTATAGTATATATGGAATAAGGTTTTTGTTAAGTGAGAGTGGGGATTTATATAGTTCTTTGGGTGACAGAGGGCCTTGAGGAGTGGCCTTCTTCCAAGCACTACCTTCCTCTCTTGGGGTAGTAACTTGTAGAGACTTAGCAGCTCATGGATTGGTGGTATCATGTGTTGGTCTTGTATGCAATCATGGCCATGGGTATGATTATGAAGGTAGGTTGTGGAAAAGCAATGGTTTGCATTGTAGGAAAGCGTTAGGGATTTCTTGAGCCAATTGTGTGAGATATTGGTGGATTTTGACTGAGTTATAGGGAAACTTTTTGCCTAAGTGAAAGGTTTTCTCATTAATTAATATCCAAGTTTGCAGTTAATCAATCTCTTGTTGGTTGCTTGATGATGTAGGCTTAATGCTGAACCACAAATTTTTATTTTTAAAATTTTTGTTACAATGAACTCTATTTGTGTGCTCTGTTCTTACATTACTATTTTGATTTCCTTTTCAAGAGGTTTATTTTGTTGTTGTTGAGTTCTTTCAATCTTCTAATCAAATAAAAGTGTAGAGGGAATTCGATTTAATTATTTGTAATACTAGTTAAAGTTGATTCTGTAAAGTGCCTTTTCACTTTTTATTCAAAGTTAAATTGGTGAGAGACTTGAATTTTTTTTTTCTATTTAATTTCTTTTATTTTCTATAGTTAATTTTATGTAATTCATTTAATCTATGTACTCTGTTGAAGAAGTCAAATTAAATGATATAAGGATGGTCAATTATTTTGTCAATTTTCTAGAATTTTTTATTTATAAGTAAAAAATTTCATAGAAAGGCGCTCAAGAGGGGAGCGCTCCCAAAGGAATACACAAAAACGCCACTAAAGCTTTAAACTATCCACAAAATCCAAAAGATCCCCCAAAGATTTACAATACCGCCCGTTAACCCAAATATAAATATCTTTGAACAAATTCTTATATATAGTTTTGTTTAATTAATTTTCTTTTTTCTAGATGTGGAAGAAAGCTTATAAAATAAAAGAAGCTGACATTAGGAGTGAGACTATGTTAACATCAAGGTCAAGTTGGTGGGAGGAGAAATCAAATAGATAAAAATGGGTTGGGGGGAAGGGTTGCAGTGCATAAGATTGGAAGGCCTGCAGTAGCTCAAAATTACATTAGCCTTGTGTTGTGCAACAAACACATGAACGCTCTTCTGTTTCCTTTCTTTGAAGCCAAATGGAGCATTAGAGCTCCAAATATCAGATATGCAAGTTTTGTTTCTGCATGTACTACATTTCTTAGAAGGCATTCTTGTTATTTATTTGGTGAATTGATATGGAACATAATGTACAAGAATTTATTTTACTGTACTATTAGATACCTAATTATTGTGTTTTCTCTTGCTTGACTCTTTTAATGGCTTCATATAATCTCTCTTACAACAGATTGGCAGCTTTGGTTTTCACAAACAGATGGTTCTTAACTTGATAATAAATTCACTTAATTTAATTTATTTTTCTTGGCAATCTAAGATGGTGGTTTTCATGGCCAGAGCAATTGTAACACGATATATATATATATATATATATTATTAGTTTATAACCGTTGTCTATCTCCACTCAGATTCATTTTTCAATCCCTTGCTTAATCTTCAAAAATATTGATAAATATCAATATTTTTCTTTTCATTTACCTCAACGAGATGACCACTAACATTCTTCTTGTGTACCCAAATCTTTCAGGACTGTGATTCGATTTCTGTCATGAAGGCTGGGAAGTTGAGGTATTCAAAGCCAAACAAATATTGGGTTGAAAGTTCCCACAAAAGGGTGAGTGCGTTGCTAACTTTTATCAGACCATGAAAAGGATGCTATGCTTTATTTATTAATTCCTGTGATGCTATTGGAATTATATACTCTGAATTTTGTCTGCCTCGTGTCAAGTACATTCTAAGGATTCTTAGTTTTACCTAAGAGTTAAGTTTTATATAGTTTTAATCTCACCTTTGGACGATGCAAGTATCTTATCTGATTGGCGGGTTGCTGTCAAGAGAGGTTTTTTTTACCCATTGTTCATGTTGCTTCCCATGGGTTGTCTACTGCAATATTTCCAAGGTCGGATTTTTGTTTCTTCATATCCTGCCAATGCTTCTTTTCGGGTTGTCTTCTTCAATTTTTTCGAAGTTGGATCTTTGTTGCTTCATAGTCTACCAAACTTGTAGTCTTTGGTCGTACTCAGTGCTTGTTTTATATGTCCTCTTCCCCCATATTTTGCATCGTATTCCTTTTCTTCCCTTTCATCAAATGTTCTATATCATGAGAAATGATTTGAAGCTTGTTAATAAATCTCCTTTTATCAATCTATCTAATGGATGGGACTGATAGGTACTTAAACTTATGGTTCTAAAAATAGTCAGTTACCCACTGTAGTCCTTGTTAACTGAGGATGCTAGAAGGGGTAGACTGGTAGAGACTTAAACTTAGGTATTATTTGTGGAAACTGGTTGTCCTTGGAGTTGAACCACTTTCTGCAGACTGTAAGCCCCTATTTCAACCACTGCACCAAGCAATGACCCCTTCTGGTTCCACAAATGTATGCCCTTTCAGAATTTGAAGTCTGAGACTCAGTTACTAAGAGGTTTGAGAGGAGGCTTGTAGGATGGAAGATACAGCATGTGTCAAAGGAGGCCTCTATCAAGACAGTGGCAGTCAACAACCAAGGCCTGCCTGTCCGTTGCAATCCTGAAAAGTCTTGGATAGGTGCAAGCTATAGGTCGGTCCCCGCATTGATGGTCCTCCCTAAAACGGATGTTCCTGCCACTCCACACCCTGAATTGAATGTGCTCTGAAAACTCATCCCAGCCCTTAGTTGTCAAAGGCGCCTGAGGCGCAAGACGCCTCCAGGCGCCATCGCATCGCCTTTAGGGACTTAAGGCGCAGGTGTTATATAAGGCGCGCGCCTTTTCTGCACAGGCGCAAGGCGAAAGGCTCTTTAAAGGCGTGCCTGATTGTTTATTAAGTCTTTCTCCACAATATTCTGGATTTTTAATTGTTTATTCTTTGTTTATTTCTTGTATTGTTATTGTTTTTATTATATTATTATTTTATTAGTTAAAATGTTACAACTTACAACATAAAAAGAAGAAAAAAAGATAACAAAAAAGTAAAGTAAAGCAAAGACACAAGCAGGCAGCGAGAGCGACGACTGACAAGGATGACTTGGTCTCGGATCTGCGTTGGATTTGCCAGATCTGCGTCGCCGGTAAGTTCTCCAACTTCTCCTCCTCCTTCTCTTCTTCTTCTCTCCTCCTCCTCCTCTTCTTCTTCTCTCTTCCAGTCTTCCTTCTCTTCTCTTCGTCGGCGACTCAGTTTTCAGTTTTTTTTTTTTTCCCTCTATTCTTCTTCTTTTCTTCTTTCTTCTTTTCTTCTTCTTTTCTTCTTTCTTCTTTTCTTCTTCTTTTCTTCTCTCGGCCCAGTCGAGTTTGGCAGAATTTTTATTATTATTTTTTTTCTTCTTCAGTTTTTTTTTTTTTTTTTTTTTCCCTCTATTCTTCTTCTTTTCTTCTTTTCTTCTTCTTCTTTTCTTCTTTCTTCTTTTCTTCTTCTTTTCTTCTCTCGGCCCAGTTGAGTTTGGCAGAATTTTTATTTATTTTATTTTTTTTCTTCTTTTATTAATCTTAAAATAACAGTTGCTATTTATTTTTTATTTTATTATGAACCAAATACATAAAGTTATCCAAATGGATGCATTTACTTTTTACTTTTATATATATATTTGATACAATACCAGACATTTGCTTAAATTGCTAGATTGATCAAGATTAGAGCTGTAAGTACTTATTTGTCCTAGTCTTTGTCCAAGAATTAATTAAACTGGTTTGTATAGTCTTTGGTTTCTACTATGGTGTAGTGTTTCAGTTTTACTACTAATATGCTTTAAATTTCAATAATTAATTTTTCCCTCAAATGTCTCATGACAACACCCATATACGATGGTGCAAATGGTGAAATTTTTTGTATTAGTCAAATTTTTTCGGATCTCATGAAATCATGCAACCAAATTGTATGCGTGTATTTGTTCCATTCTTAGAATGTTATTGGTTTGACTGTTTGAGGAAATGCATTTTTAACATCAAATTGTAACACCAAATTGAAGTCAAATTAACATCAAACTTAACACTGAATAGTCTGAATCCATGTGTTTTTTGCATGAAATAATATTCTGCTTTTTGCCTTTTTAAATTGAAATGTTAATATTGCTTTGAAGCTCTGTATTTTTTAGTTGGGTTTGACATTTTTATGTTGAATATTGAACTTAAGTAATTCATTTAGTTGACTTTTGCATCTTTAATACTTTATTAGGTGGGTTTTGTTTTTTTTTTTTTTTTTTTGCCCAACGTGCGCCTTGCTTCAGTCGGGCACGCGCCTCGCCTTGCGCCTCAGGCTCTAGGAGGCATTTGCGCTTTTGTGTGCCTTGAGCCTTTAACAACTATGTCCCAACCGGATGAATTTCCAAACTCCAATCCTTGCCGGACCCCCTCCTCTAAAGAACACCAACCACCCATATCCTATCCAAACTTCATGCAAATAACCCTCCTCCAAAACATGCTCCTCTCCACCCCAAACCATAGCCACTTATCCAACAGGGCTTTATTGAAAGGAGTCTGCCCAAACTCCCGTCGGAATCGGCAAACACACCTGATCCCAATTCACAAGATGGTACTTGAACTCCTCCCCCATCCCTCCCTAAAGGAAATTCTGTTTAAGCTTCTCAATCCTCTACCTCACCGAAGATGGAATCTGGAACGACGACAGATAATAAGTAGGCATATGAACTCCTGTAGGGAGGGATGGGGGAGGAGTTCAAGTACCATCTCGTGAGTTGGGATCAGGTGTGTTGGCCGATTCAGATGGGAGTTTGGGGGTTCATAGGCCGACTTCTTTCAATAAAGCCCTGTTGGATAAGTGGCTATGGTTTGGAGCTTCTCAACCCTCTACCTCACCGAAGATGGAATCTGGAACAAGGACAGATAATAAGTAGGCATACTCGATAACGTACACTTCATTGAAGTAAGCGGCCTCCTTTTGACACATATTGCGTCTTCCATCTTGCAAGCCTCCTCTCAAACCTCATAGTAATTGGGTCCTAGACTATCATACATTTTTTAGAGCATATATATATATATACTCCCTCCGTCCCATATTTGATGTCACACTTGGGGAGTATAACTTTTAAGGGGACATGTAATTATTGCATCGTCCCCTTTAAGAATTACTAAGTTACCCTTTCTAGTTTGAATATTTATATAATATTTTTTTTAAAGTTTAAGGGCATTTTATGGAAAGATGTGAAAAGCGATGTTTGAATTTAGAAAGTTGACAACTAATTTGGGACAACCAAAATAGAAAGATTGACAACTAAATTGGGACGGAGGGAGTATATATTTTCCCAATTGTCTTTTCATTAGGTTATTCTATTTTTTGAGTTTAGATTTAGGTCTTTTGTACTTTTGAAAGTCTTTATATGGATTTACCTGTCTAAAAAAAATCTTTCTACTGGATTTACTTACTGGCCCCTATGGTAAAGCTTCAATGATAACATTTCCTTCTCTTTGTTCTGCATGAAGACACCAAACTCTAATGTAATAAATTAATATATATATTGCTAAGGTTTTTTTTTTGGAAGGTTAAGCAAACACACACTCCCATGCCTCCAGCGAGGCTTGAATACCCGACCTCCTCTCTGGGGAGAAGGGATTGTACCAAGTTCACAATTATGTTGTTCTACTAAATTTAATTTGTTTTGCTTGGCATAATATATATATATATATATATATATATTTGTAGTTTACATTTTATCGTTTTAGTTGTTTTAAGCTTTGTTGTTGTCACTGGGTACTTTAGCTGTTTATTGTTACTTGAGTAATTTTTTTCTTGATTTTCTAGGTCTGCATGCAAAATTGAGTGCATTTTGGGCTTTGTTATATATCGCATTAGGGATTTACAGTACTTTTGTTTTCATTTATTTTAGGGTAAAATGCAAAAAAAAACCCTGAACTACAAAAATTGCCAAAAAAAAAAACCCCTGAACTATACAATTTTATTGCAGATAGCCCCATCCGGCGATTGGCCGGTAAGATCTCACCGGTAAATTGATCATGCACAGTCACGTGACATACAAAATATAACTTAATGACTATAATACCCATAAGACCATAAAAAAAGACTTTATTGCCATTTATTATAACCATAACACCAAACACCTCTTTAAATGACTTGCACCCAAACACACCCTTAATACTCTTTTGTCTATACACACACACATATATATACACACACACTGTTCATCTTCTTCACAAGGTCTGCTTTTCTGAATTTAAAAAGAAAATAAATGCCAACCCCTCTCTATTTGGGTATGTTGTGCTTTGTGTTGACATATATATATATATATATATATATATACATTATACACATATATGTACTCGCTTTCTGATAAATTTTAAAAAAAAAAACGTGCCAAAATGATCCCCTCTCAATTTGGGTCTGTCTGTGCTATGGGTTGGTCTATGCTTTGTATTGACACACACACACACACACACACACACACATGTTGTGCTTCTGATAAATGAAAAAAAAAAATTCCCTTCTCTCTATTTGATTTTGTTACTCTGTTGTGCTTTATGAGTTTGCATTGATATATATATATACACACACACACACATATATATCATCAAATTTGTAAGCTACAAGAACCCAATTCTTTAGAACCCTAATTTCTCAAATCCCAAAATTGAATCCCCAAATCAAACTCACTCCTCTCAATATCGGTTTGTGCTGGAATTATTTGCCATCAGTTTCTTCGCTTCCACCGCCAGAGCCCTCCTTGGCTTCCCACATAAAGTCAGCAGCACCATGATCCACATCACCAGGTTGGCTGGAACCACCACGGTCGAGGCGGCATGAATCGAGAGGCGCCCAAAAACTGCCCCCGCAGCACGGAGGTGTAGAACATCTTTGATTTTCTCTATCTGGTCTGCCGTGGATGCTTTCTTTGATTTTTTTTTTTGTCTCTGGTCTCTTCTTTCTCTCTCTCTCTACAATTTCCTTTTCCAGATTTGGTTTATGTATGGTGACCAACATATGTACAGTAGATGCTAAGAGTTGAATTCAGTATATTAGTTTAAAACGGTGTAGAATTGTTTAAGGGTAAATTGGTCTTTTACTTTTTCCAATACCGGAAGATGACACCATGGGGTTATATGCAACAAAAACATAGTCCAGGGGGGTTTCTTGCAATACTCCAATAGTTTAGGGTTTTTTTTTTGCATTTTATCCTTTATTTTATTCAGTAAAAATAATGAATAAGGCTGTTATCTATTCTCTCTCATTTGTGGCATTAATTAATTCTAACTATATGCTTTCTTTTTTATGGATTAACATTGTAATTTTTGTTTTTCATATGGGATTAACATTGTAATTTTGTTTGATTGTTCTTTTACAGTACTCGCCTTATGTTGGGGATACTGTTCTTGGAATCGTGGTAGACACTAAAGCAGATGTAAGCACTTCCGTGTACTGCAATACTGTCATATAGTTTGTTTAATGCTATTACTTCTTCAGTATCAGTTTTTGGTAAAACCGTATTATGTTTTTAGCTTAGTTCCACATTGAAATAATAACTATTTGTTTAGGTTATCTATTATTATAAATTTGTGATATGAGTCTGGCTAGTGCATTTCTGTAATGCACAATTTGATAGTGCTGTTTCAGATAATATAATTAAGTAGCATATATTACATGGATGTGCTGTTTCCTTCTGTATTGCAATTACGCGGGTGTGTTTTTTGACATTACTCAACAAGCAAAAAGCTCAACATCTCATTTCTGATCTTTTTCCTTGCAAACTTAATCTCAACCTCCAAATTACATTTGAGTTATCAGCTTACAAAAATACCCAAAGCATCCTTTCCTTTTATTGAGGGAAGAGTCTCAGAGAAGGTGACAATTTTAAGAGGTTAAATTAATCATTGAACCTTTGATAGAAAATAGAAATTACATGAATGTCCCCATGAAGCAAGACTTGGAATACCATTGTAATTAGGTTTACCTAATCTTATTCAGTATTCTATTTGATTGATAGGATTCTTTGCCATGATGGTAAACTAGGAAGCACGGACACTCCAAAATGGGAGAAAAATCCGTGTCCGACACGTCCTGACACGTGTCGGACACGCCAAAAAACGTGTCTGGAATTTTTTATTTTTTTTTTAATTTTCGGACACGGCACGGACACTCCGCGGACACGGTATGGACACTCCGCGGACACGGGCACGGACACTTGAATTTTTTTTTTTGAATGCTGATATGTTCTTTCTTTTTTTTTTTTTTTTTTTTTTTTTTTTGTTTTGTACTACCCTTTTGGTATTGTAAATGGTAAAAGTCCTAGGTCAAATGATGGATGGGAATAGATGATAGTACACTGACTTGTTTTTTTATCTTTTTTGGGGACTAGCCCTTAGGTTTTTGTGAATGTTAAGTGCTAATAGTAAAGTCATGAATGTTAATAGTCCTTTCTGTCTATGCTTTTGTATTTGGAGTAAAGTTGCAATGATGATTAAATGATACTAGTTATTATTCTAATGTCTTATTTTTTATTTGGTTTTATAATTCTGCAACATTGTTCTTTTATAGTTTATTAGTTATGAGTTATGATTTGTGTTGTTTTTTTCATTGTGAGGTTGATGAAAAATAGTAACACAGTAATTTTTAAAGTACTACATCATATATATATATACTATTCGCCGTGTCCGTGTCCTAATTTTTTTGGATTTGCCGTGTTGCGGTGTCGGTGTTGTGTTGTATCCGTGTCCGTGCTTCTTAGATGGTAAAAAAAGTCGTATTAATGCTACAGCAAAGTGTTAATTTGCAAAATGAAAACACCAAAACTAAAGTAAAGGGGCAGGTCTCTTATTTAAAAAATTTGTTAAGGTGAAAATGCAGATATAAGTCTCACCATAACCACTTTGTGCAAAATCAGGGGATGGATCTATATCTAACCTACCCCTCCTAGCATCCCTAGTTGATGGATGGGGCAACAACCTTTTAAAGTTGCATACTGCTTTCAACTATGTTTTCTTCTTCAAAATACCCTACAAAAGTGCAGCATCCTCCAAAGTTTCGGATACAACATGTGGTCAGGGCTTCGAAGCTGAGTAATGAAGAATGTTTCAAAATGAATTTGGATTTTGTGCTTGAAACAAGTCTAGTAATTAGAAGGAGAAGCAGCTATAGTATTAAGAGAAAGTGTGTTTTTTTTATTATTTTTTTTTGCATGCTTGTTGGATGTTTCACTTTCGGAATAAGCACTAAGTTGTTGTGGCTAAGGCTTCAAAGAATAACAGTGGAGAAACCATCACAACAGTACTGAACAGATGATGTAATAGTCTTCTTCAACCATGAACTGAGTATTCCCCTCATCGTTGACTCAACATCACTTTACAAAATACCTAATTCCTCTGCCTTCTCACTTTTAACTCTCCCTCAGGGCACGAACGGCACTTTTGTGGCCTTAGTTCCAAAGAAGGATCATGGACTCACTCCCCCATCTTAGGGACAGTCAGACGGAATAGGATACTCTTAAGTAATGTACCAAAACAAGCACAAATTCATATCCTCCCCACCATTCGTAGTACACTTCTCACTAACCAAATCTCAATGAAAGGAAAGTCACTAGAGCTTCATGCCTACAAACAAAGTTTACCTAAACATGCCCTTGTAAGCTGAGTTTTGCACCAACCAAGCTTAAGGAAGATTCTGGCAGAGGTCTTCATTTCTATTTAGGTGACCTAGTTCTCTTGAGGGTCCTACCCTTCCCCTATTTTTTTGAGTGTCGCCTTGCTGCTGACAACCTTTTAAGGTTGCATACTGCTTTCAACTATGTTTTCTCCTTCCAAATACCCTACAAAAGGGCAGCATCCTCCAAATTTTCTGATTCAACTTGTGGTCAGCACTTCGTAGCTGAGTAAAGAAGAATGTTTCAAAATGAATTTGGATTTAGTGCTTGAAACAAATCTAGTAATTAGAAAGATAACACTGAGCAGCTCAATACTTGTGAATGCATTTGAGGACCACAACCCCACCCACCCACCCCCTCCTCATGTTACCGAATACAATATCTGTTTTAACCTTACGTTTGGGAGAGTGGACGCGTTCCTACATGTACATTTGTGAACGTGTGATCTGTAACGTACGGATGTGTTTTCTCTGAAGAAAAAAAAAAATGCAGGAGGAGGAGGTGTCATGTGAGAGATAATAAGAATAATATGACCACATGCTTCAATTCTCAAGTCTGCAAAGAATATTTTAGACCGCCTACATTACATCTTCATCCTGCATGCCTAGCCAAAATTATATATACCCACATCCAATGCACCTTGAGTGTTGTGCAAAGTAAAAATCCCAAGCCATGCTCTAAGGAACAGCCAATAATGGCCTTCTCTTATATCTGTTTGTCTGCATTTGGTAGTTAATTGTGTTTTTGAAGAGAAATTGTGTAATGATGGGACTTTTATCCCCCCAACCCAAAACTCAAACTCCTTTTTCTTCTTCTACATCTTGGGTGTGGGGTGGTTGCCATGATCTCTTCCCAGCTTCTACTTTATAGTATGTCAATTTACGTTACTGTTAGATGTGAATTTTATATTTTACTACCTAAAAACTAGACATGGTCATGTGAACTTCAAAAAATTTCTTGTTTCTTTCATTGCAGAACTTCCTTGTGGATATAAAAGGACCTTCATTGGCATTTCTTCCTGTACTTGCATTTGAAGGAGGAACTAGGAGAAACATTCCTAAGTTTGAGGTTCAATCACTACAATTTTAATAAATGATATGTCTATTATCGATTAAATTATGCCATTATGCTACTTTAAGTTTTGTTGACTGCGACTCCAGAGAAGCTGAGTACTTCACTATATGAACTTGTGTCATAGTACCTGAAGATGCTTTCTTAATGATCATCCCATCCCAATATTGTATTGGTTGTATGATTTTTGTAAATCCTTTGACATGATATGTCTGTTATAGTTGGAACTAAGTCTTTATGTTATTTTAAACTTTGTTGACTGCTACTCCAGATATGCCAAGTAATTTGCAATTTTAACTTGTGTCATAGTACCTAAGATGCTATTTTAATGATAGTCTCGTCCCAAATTTGTGTTTGTTGTTTTCCATGATTGGATTGTAAAACCTTCTTCATTTAAAATGATGAATAGCAGAATGATTGTTTAATGCTAAAGCCTAAAGCAAACATCTAGAAACAAATTGCTTGAAGGGGAAAATCTACTGAAAACACGGATTCTTCTTGGCCATGGTCTGGAAACAGTACATTCATGCTCCCTTTGTTCAGCAAAAAATGTCCTTCAAATTGAAAACATTGGATTGTATAATAGTAGAATATCACAATTATGTAGAGATTATATTATTATCTACTATCATTTTTTTTTTTTTGATAAGTATATTATTATCTACTATCATATCCAAACAAACGGTACCCTTGTATCATAAGCGGGTGTAAATAATGCATTTGTTTCACATCCTTCCTTATTCACAGAAGTTCGTAGGACTTTGATATTTTTTATTAAGTTGAGTGTAAAATTTGATTTTGCTTGTTTGGTGTATCCTATCTTGTTATTACACATCTGTGCTTGCCACTTGCTTGTTGACAAGCAATGTATTTTACATTCCTGTGTTGGAGTTAGAAAAGACCTAGCTTAATGCAAGAGGCTCCCTTCATTGCGGGTCTTAGGAGGGTCGGATGTACAAAAGCTGACCTCCGTATGTGGAGAGTCTGTCTCCCTTTTTGAACCCGTAACCTCTAGGTCACAATGGACGATTGAGCAATCTTACTGTTCCGCCAAGGCCTGCCCTCATTTCTGTGTTGAAGGTGGATAGCTTAAATTTTTATGGGCCACTTTTGCTGTATTGAGGTGACTATGCTCCCCTATGAGTTCAATGAAAAGACATTTGAACCAATATGACTAGACTACATCTTCTCTTCGAACTCTTCCTTAACATTTCTTTTCTTTTTTGGTATATGCAGAGCACTTATTATGGGTAATAGTTTAGTCTGTATGTGCGACGTATTATTTTGAATTCTAATTTATTGTGTTGATTTAGTACATATGTTGTTACTTCTATTGTTAATAATTTCATAGTTCATTAATTTATTCTTTTGAATTTCAAAGCTTCTGTTGGCTTAAGCTTCAATCTTGCAGGTAGGTACTTTGCTTTATCTTCGGGTTGTCAAGGCAAATACTGGCATGAATCCGGAGCTGTCATGCACTGATGGTTAGTTTATTTAGACTTGTAGTTCCACTGCATCTACCTTGCATACGTTACCACTTGCCTGTTACATCGTTTGTAAATTTTTTGGTGTATCTGAAGGTATACTTCCACTTGACCTGTAATTTATAAATAAACTGTCTTATTGTTTCACAGCCAATGGGAAAGCAGCGGAGTTTGGCCCCCTTAAAGATGGATATATGTTTGAATCATCAACTGGCCTTTCACGAATGTCTCATTCTTTTCCCCTCTTTTTTAATTTATAGAAGTTTCAGAAATTCTACAGTACATCTGTTCATTTGTCCGATAGCAAATATACTGTATAGAGTGAGTTAAAGTTTGAAAATTCCTTTCAGTTTTAACGATCTCTTATTTTCAATTTCTAGGCTGTTGAGCTCCCCAACATGTCCAGTTCTTGAGGCTCTAGGCAAAAAGCTCTCCTTTGAGATTGCAGTTGGTTTAAATGGCCGTGTTTGGGTATGCATTTTTGGGTGCTTATTTGTGGGGTAAAGCGGTTCTTCATTTTAAATGTTTCAATGGAATCACCATGTCTTCTCATCTACTTGTCTTAATTACCATCATTACTTCTTTAAGGCTTGAAAATCCCCTACTGGGGCTGAGCCAAAAGCAAATGATTACTCTTGCTAACTTGCTTTTTGTAATGTAGTTCTACTTCCCTTAATTCTAAATAGAATTCTTACTGATTCTACTGCTTTCTTAATATATATATATTTTTACTTTTGGCTTTGTAGGTAAATGCTGCATCTCCATCTACAGTTATCCTTGTATCAAACGCGATCATGAATTCCGAATCCTTGAGTGGGGTGCAGCAAAAAATTATGGTGGATAAACTGCTCCAAAGAGTCCAGTGATCAAGTTAGTCAAAAATATTTCTGATTTAATCCACATCCTTGGTCATAGATACAATTTCTTATGACTTTATCCTGCTGAATCTTAGACTAGTCCCCCCATTCCCCAAACACACAGACAAAACAACTGCTGATGTAAGCATTTTCTTGATATTGCCAACATCCTCTTAGTGTTCTTAGTTTATATCAAACTTAAATTTATCCTCCCGATTCATAATTACAGAAAGCATTATTGTTCTCTTCTAATTAATATTCAAAATAAGTCCATCTTCGGTAGATATGTTTCTGAAAGCTGCAGTCTTTTCCATGGCTTTAGTGTATTCATCTGTCCAAGGCAGACAAATCCTATCAACTGTTCTGTATTTTTTGATGGTGACCTAGCGTATGGCATTGTGCCACGTCATCAATAAAAATTGAATCACCAGCGTATGGCATTGTGCCAGTGGCAAACATCGGACAATGAAGAGATCCATGTTTGAGTGCAAGAGCTCACAACCAAAATTCTTTACAAAGGATATTTATGGTGGTTTTATTTATTTAATTTTTATTTATCATTGGATATCTATGGTAGTTTGGGCTATAATCTTTGATCCCACCTCTTTTAAGTTTTGATGTGTCATATTGTTACTATCTATTACATAATAGATGCAGTATATTTAGATTGTACTCAGTTTTTAATGTTCTCCCCCTAGTTTACTCGGCTTCTAATTGTATGTGCGGATCTTTGTTTTTTCTTTTAGTTTGGACTATGTAATTACTCTTGAACTCTGCCTTGTCGGGAATGGCGGTTCGGGAGGTTTACATGGTTGATCAAGAAAGATAGTGACTCGGCAAGCCTAGAACTTCATGTGAGGGGATTCTGAGTCCTCATGACCAGCTTCGGCAATCAGGCACGATCAAGTACATGGTGTCTACAGTTTCTGAAGCTTTCGGGGACAAGTTGAGACAATGTACAATGTTGGGAATTTTGCTAATATTTTCCAAAACTTTCTTCGTATCCAATTGGTTCTAGTCTTTTAGTTGTTTTATATGGGTTTTAGGGGGTGGCAAATGGACCGGACGGGGCTGGTCGGGTTTGGGTAATTCATATTTGACCCGCTTGTAACGGGTTAAATATGAGTTGGGTCAAAATAGACCATGTTAATACGTTTTAAGAAAAAAAAATTGGTATTATTTTGGATAATTTTATTATTATAGTTGTTTTTTTTTTTTTCTTCAGATGGATAAAAACTTGTAAAAATAAGTATAGATAATTGTAAATCCTTCCATTTATTTTGAAAATTTTTTAAATTTATATTATTTTATTTTATAACTAGACATGCATGAAGATAAGATATATATTATATTATATGAAATCATCTGTTAAGCTTAATTAAATGAATAAATCATGTAAACATAGGTTTGTTTCGACCAGTAGTATACACGAGGAGTACACGAGTAGATTAACAGTATCCTCTATTAGAATTCGGGTTAAACAATCCACTGGTTAAAGTTGCATAATTGACTTGCAATTTCTTGCAATGTCAACCTCTTTGTAAACCCATTGGGATGAGAGAGAAAATGATTCCCTCAAGACAAATGCATCGGCTATATTTTTAGTAGGTAAACCAAAGACAGAAGATTGATGCAACTCGAATTCTTTAGGATCATTACGCCCCCCCCTCTCTCTAGACCATATAATAGATATTTAATTTCAACATCCTATATATATGTTTGTATATATGTGTACTCGTGTAGAGAGAGAGAAGGGAATGGACCATTAGATATTGTTGCAAGAATTACCGAAAGAAGTAAAAGATATTGTTGGTAGAAAAGTAGAGCTGTATATGTGATGTGGATGTAGTAGATAGCAAAACCATAGTAGTACAAAGAATTTTAGAGAGAAATAGGATGATGTAGAGAATCTTAGAGAGAATTTAGGATCGTGTTTAGAGAGGAAGATGAAGTGAATTTGAGTCAAATAGAGAATGTGAAATTAGGTCTCTTATATAATGAGTGACTCGTATTTGACCCATTTAACTGTCTATAAAAATAGGTTGAATATAGTCATCTATTTTGATCCATATTTAAAATAATTTATCCATATATGAATGAGTTGGTAGGCTATGACTCATTTTTCCACCCAACTTTTTCTTTAGTTTGTCGAACATTCCTTCTTAACAAATACTTTTTTAAAAAATATTTTTGTGCGTAGACAGCCCATTTTCACTCGAGTTTTCTCAATCGTATTTGGATTTGCATTTTCTATTCCTAGATATTCCTTTTTAGGCAAAGAAATCTCCAGTTAGATTTTTGAAGAGATTTTTTTATTATTATTTTTAAATGACGGTCATTAGATAGCAGTTTGATGGCATTTTCATTGCATATTCTTATTTGTGATCCACTGGAGCCGAAAAGTGTGCATGTTCATCAATGTTCACTCATGTTTGGAATTTAACAAGTTAATTATGGGTTGTTTAGTCAAGTTTTCCAACTTTAACCCTCAACATAGCGGGGATGGGGCGCACCCTTGTTCCATGACGCTCACCTTGGGGCGCGGTGCGCTTGTTCCATGACGCTGGGGCGCGGTGCGCTGGTGCGTACGCTTCTGGCGCTGGGGAGCAGGGAGTGCTTGGTGGTGGGCACGACGATGTGTTTCTGGTCGGATGTGAAACTATGTTTCATAACAATAGGGGTGCTCGCACCCCCCTAATGGGAAGCGCACGCACGCATGCGGACCGTCTCAAGGAGGAGGTGGGGCGCTCTCTTCGCGAAATAATTGAATGCGATCTTATCGAGCTTAATATGGACAGAACAATTATTTGTATTAGGGTGGTAAATGGGTGGATTTGGACAAGTTTTGGGCTGATAATAAATGGATAGATTAATAAGAGGTCATAATCTGTTAATAATTCGCTGATCAGCTTAAGGTGTGTCATAATTGGTTTGGGTATTAAATAGGCTAGTTAACCCATATATAACTCGATGACCCTCTATTTTTTATTTTTTCTTTAAAGGAATAATAATAATATATGAATATTCTCAACAATATATATTCATCTATATATGGGATATATCATATGTGTGCGGGCGCGGATTTGGTAAATCATAGTTTACAATTTCTAGAAGATAAATTTAGGGTTAATTTTAGTGACACCCTTGATTTTTGGACAAATTTTACATGGAGATATCTTTCGAAAATAAGTATTACTTTCAAACGTCACTTTTCAATGGTGTCAGATCACTTTTGATATGTAAAATAACATTGCTACCTCTTTTGACTTTATATTAACTTACCAAAAGATTTTTACATATATAAAATGACTTAACTACCACTAACACCCATTTTAAGTGACTAAAGTATCCAGAAAATTGAACCCCATTACTAAATGTTCATTGTAGTTAGTAATTATTTAGTTTTTAAATGTTAAAAGCTAAATCGCCACTTTAATTATTTGTTTTAGTCTTTTATTTATTTATTTATTTATTTATGTGATATATGAAATGCATGAAATATATAATTGCTAATTATTATTATTTATGTATTGGATTTATGATATTTATTTAAATGACTTGATTTATATTAATTAAATTATAAAAATTAATTAGATTTGATTAGTAATTAATTAGAGGACACTTAAAGGGAAATGAAAAATTATTTTTAAAAGTATGCCTCAAATTAAATATTAGTGAATCATTTAAAAGCCCAAATATTTTCTAAATTTAATTTGATTAAAATCAAGGCATTTTGCATGCATTATATCATGTAAATAAATGAATCAAAAACCCTAATTATAAATGATTAAAAATTGAGTGGGAGCGGAGATTTTATACATTACCCCATGACCTTCGTTATTATAACCATTGTAGTTAGATCTTTACAAATAAAACTTCACATATGATTTAAAGAGTTTGATATTACAAGAATGGTCGTCTCACAAAAATAAAATTATTAAATGTTCATTGTAGTTAGATTTTTAAAAATAAGGCTCTTTAAATAAGGCTACATGCATGATTTGAAGAGTCTAAGTTTATAATGGTAATATATTTAATATTTTATTTTTCGTTGGAGTATTAATAACGTTATACACTCAACCTAAAATCAATAGTGTTAGCTCCCCTACAAAGTGGTCTATACTAGGTGATTTTAGAAAAGCTAAACATAATCGGGAATCATCTCATATATAGATAAGACATTGTCTAAAGAGCTATGGAAATGATGAGTTTTTCTCGTCAATGGTAATAATGAACTCCGCCAACTATAATTGTTGCACCCCATTAACTCCCACTATCTTTAAGTAGTGGAGCATTACTTTAAAATTCACTTTAGGGCAATAATTTACTCTTTAATGAGTGAAAATAACACAAAATAATCATGAAAGCGAGCCTGAAAGTCCACCATAAGAATCTGTGCGCATGCAGGAGACCAAAGCTGGACCCACGTGCCCCCACGCGTTCACCATGCTTCCTTACGCGCTCACCACGCTCCTTCACGCCCGCCTACGCGTGTGCACGTGACTATAGATAGCAATAGCCACGCGCCTGATGCGCTAGCTATGGCTGGCACGTGGTCCTCACGCGCTTGATGGTTGGGTGCGCATGGAGCGCACCGTAGGCTCTGCCACCCCATATCTCTTCTTGCCTTTGATTTGCGCTCCGGCTGCTAGAATCTCACCAGAAATTCCAGAATAATAAAAAAGGGCCAAAAAATTCTAAAAAAATTCTAAAAAATTTCAGAAAATTCTAGGAACCTTATTTTTCACTCTTAGACCTTCTTGAAGCTTCATAGTACTAATTGATGAAGATTACATAGGTTTAAAATTAATTATACATATGAAATACAATGAAAAATAAATAAATTACATCATTGAACTTTCAAATGGTTAAATCAAAGCTTTAATTACATTCATCCAAAGATAAAATTATCCTTAACCTATAAACTTCATCAATGCCCCGAATATACATCATCATCATCCATTCACAAATATACATACATCATCATCATATATCAACATATCAAATCATACATCAACATATATCAATATATACATATGCATATAAAAATTGGATCCATGAATGATGATTTTTATAAAAAGTATGATCTCTAGTCATGAATCAAATTAAGCTCTGATACCATTGTTGGGAAAACTTTTTGAGGGATTTTCATACATAGATCCTGATTCATCACATAGAAACAAGTTTTATGCAAAAGATAAAATGATGAATAATTCATTATTAGATTAAAAACTTACATCAAAGGTTTGAGTAAACCTTAAAACTTTTATCTAAAGTGAATATTCTCACTTATTGTAGATCCCTTAACTAGATCCTTTCTCCTATGATCTCCTTCTTGATATTGATTTTCTCTTTAGGAATTACCAATAAACCTTGATGAATGACCTTAAAAGCAAAACTTGTGTGAGCCTCCTTTAGATGAGAAAGTTAACCCTAATAATCTAGGGAGAGAAAATATATTTTGTCTTCTAATTATGCACAAAGGGGTAACCTAAAATATACATGGGTCAGACCCATGCATATATAGAAAAAATAAAAATAAAAATGAAAGACAATATATTTTTCTCAATCTCTAAAATTCACGTGATATCTCAAAACAATGGGCCTCCAATATCAAGTTGGGCTGTGGATGAGAATTCCTTGAGCTTACTATTTTCTTGGTTACTATAAATTAATAATTGACCTGGTTCATTATATCATGGACCCAATTTAATTAATTCATAAATCAATTTCTATTCCACTAAAAGAAATTAATTAGACTCCAATTAAATAGTAAATAACCCTTAAATCAATATTGCATTTTGACCCCTCTATGAATAATTATTTCTCAGATTATAAAGTCATCAATCCAATTACATAATTAATATATTTATTTTGGTACCTTTGATTATTTCCGGCTTGATCACAATAAAAATTTATTTGACAAAAATAATAATTTAGTAAATTAATACATAGAAAACATTTTGTCTAAAATACACGAAGGCTTTCGAATTTACTTTGTGATCAACCATAATCAATGCAAAATAAATACTAGTAGCAACGATGCAAATATTGAGAATATAACCATTTAATTATTAATTACATAACTACCCAAAGTGCCAGTCTTTGGATCCCAAAATATCCGCTGAACAAATCAAAGCAATTATTAATTAATAAAAGAGTCTATACTTCTTTCATGCTTGAGGGTCAAGAGCCATGATTACATATATCTCAACCTATCGTGGATTCGGTTCAAGTCTTAGTTGAACCTTAGTTAATTAAATATTTATCCATAATTATCGACTTTGAATCATTTATGAT